GCTCACCTCCTCCGGGTTGAACGTCTTCGTCTCGCCGCGGAACTGCACCTGGATCACCGGCTTGTCGTCGCCCTTCGCGATGACCTTGAAGGGCCAGTGCTTCATGTCCGACTGCACAACGGAGTCGCTGAACTTCCGCCCAATGAGGCGCTTCGCGTCGAAGACGGTGTTCGTCGGGTTCATCGCAACCTGGTTCTTCGCGGCATCGCCGATCAGGCGCTCCGTGTCGGTGAACGCCACGTACGACGGCGTCGTGCGGTTGCCCTGATCGTTCGCAATGATCTCCACGCGCTCGTTCTGCCACACACCGACGCACGAGTACGTCGTGCCGAGGTCGATGCCGATGGCGCCTTCGAAGGTCATTTTGCTCCCGCTGTTTGGTTTGCCTGCCTTTTGCTTTTCTCGCCGATGCTTGAAACTTTCAACTTCTGTTGGCTCTGGCGCACCCGCGCCGCAGGGCAGCGGGGGGAGGGGAGACAATTGAGAGAAGAGGAATAGTGATGTGTTGCATGGTATCTTTTTTTTTTGGAGTTTACGGGTTGGGTAATAGCCTTTTTCTTTCCGTGTGCATTAGTCAGAGGTTTTGGTGCTTCTTCGAGTTGCTCACTTTTTTTGAGTCGTGAAATCAATGGGGGAATGCAGGTAGAGAACGATTCAAAATGGTGTATTTGTTTTTGTTTTGTTGTTGTTTACCTGTTATGCTTGCGATAGATGGGCTTGTTCATTTCGTTGGCCGCCTCTTCAAGCGTTTCACCGGATTGATAGCTGCAGTTGGAGCGTGGTGGTGTGGTGGGTGCGCCGTTGCCGCTTTCGTTTGCCTGTTGCAGCTGTCTCTGCAGGCTCTCCTGCCGCGCTTTCAGCCACGATGTGATGTCGCGTTGGGTGGACGCCAGTTGCAGTGAGGCGGAAGCGTCGCTCGGGGCTGAGGCCGGTGCCTCGCCGGTCGGTGCACGGCGCGCGGGCGACGTGAGTGGAGGGGTGTGGTGGGGTCGTGGCGCGGTGGGTGTTGTCGGCGGACTTTGCCGCCCCCCCGGCGGGCGCTGCCTGCGCGAGGCGACTTCCCCGACCTCGTCAATGACGCCGGCGACGTGCCGGAGCCCGCCAAGGTGGCTGAAGATGGCGTTGAGGTGTGGGCTGCCGTGGTCGCGGCACGGCACGATGGGCAGCACGACCGGGTCCGTGTTTGCCGCCGGCTGCAGAAGGCGGGCACGGAGGCGGGCGGCGCAGTGGACGAAGAGCCTCAGCAGGTCAATGATGGCCTCAAGTACCGCACTGAGCTCCGTGTCCGCCTCGGCGCGGACGAGGTGGCTGCGGTCGCAGCGTGCACCGCCCCCCTCCGGCGTGGTCGCCTTGTCGAGAAGAGAGCGGAGGTGCCGCCGCTGCTCCGCGTGGAGCGCCGCGCGTTCCTCGAGGAGACGCTCGTTTGCCTCCTTCTCACGAAGCAGAAGCGCCTGCTCGGCCGTCGTGCTCTCCAACCGACGCACCCGCTCGAGCAACTCCTGCACGCGCTGCGGCGGCGCCGTCGTGCCTGCGCCGCCCTCTACCGCGGCTGGAGGCGTACTCGTCGGTAGACCACCCGCCGCCCTCGGCACGGACGGTGAGCAGAGCGGCGCGTATGGCACCTCCGTCGTCACGGTGCCGCGGTCCACCGTTGACACGCGGCGGGGGCGTGCGGCGTCTTTTCCGCCAATTTCCTCCCGCTCCATCAGCCGCCTCACGTCGCCGAGGAGGGCGTCGTTCTGCACGTTGAGGGCCTGCAGCTCCGCCCTGGCAAGCAGCTGCTGCCGCTCGCCCACCTCGCGCTGCCGCTGCAGAAGCTGCTGCAGATTTACCACCCCCTCCTCCGCCCCCACGCGCGCCTTGCGCTCCGCCTCCAACTCATTCATCAGCCGCTCGTTCTCGGCCGCGAAGGCCGCAATCTCGCCTCGCAGCCCCTCCAGCGCTTTGCTCTCGATCTCGTCCATGGCCGCCCCCGCCGCCGCGGTGCGCGCGTGCGTGGAGTGGTCGTGGGACGCCCTCGCCCTGGCGACCTTCAGCTCCCGCTTTAGCGCAGCCACTTCGTGCGAGAGACGACGGCACTGCGCCGCCGCCTCCTCCCTTGCCGCCTCAGCCGCCTGCAGCTTCTGCTGCAGCGCTGCCCTCTCCGCGCCAGTCTCACGCGACTTCGCAGTGGACGCCTGCAGCCGCTTGGCTTCGCGCTCGATGTGCTCCTGCAAGTGCCGCTGCTGCTGCCGCACCTGCTCCTCGAGCACGCCGAACTCGGCACGCCAGTCGCGGTTCTGCGCCTCCAGCTGCGCCACTTCCCGCATCAGCGCCGCCTTATCCTCCGCGAGCGCCGCCGTTTCGCGCTCCAGGCGGCGCGTCTCGTCCCGCGCCCGCTCCAACTCCTCCGTCTTTGTTTGCAGCTGCTGCACCGCACGGAGGTAACTCAGCGATGACGGCGAGGACTCCATTCCGCCCGCTCCCCACGCTGCTGGCGCGGAGGCGGCCCGACACTTTCCCTCGCGCGTCAACCCGCAAGGGGTAAAGAGACGAAGAAAAAGAAAAAAAACAGCCCGGGGGGAGAAGCACAGTTAAACATGCGAAACACACACAGCTGCGGACGGGCACACGTGTACCGCAGCAGGAAACTGGGGGAGAAGACACTTGTGAGTTGTGGAGCCAACGTCGCCGCGGCACCCGCAGCGAAACAAAGAGGCTGAAAGGGCCGCCAAAATGTTGGCCCCCGCCCGCCTATCCCACGTTTTTTTTTTCGTTTTGTCTTGCGTGGGCGTGCGACGGGTGGAAGGGGCGGGGCACTACTACTACTACTACTGCCAGTTGTACTGCGGGAGGAGTTTGAGGGGAGGGGAAAGACGGAAAAGGAGCCGCGGGCGGCGCCGCGGCCCAGCGACGCAGCGGCGGCTTCACCACAAGGCGTAGTGGTCCTCCAGCACGCCCGCAACGCGGTCAAATTTGTACATCGCCCCCTCCACGCGAATCGAGCCGTCAAAGGTGCCCCACGCGTGGTACAAGTCGGTCTTCACGACGCCCACGTGGAGGGCGGCGTCATGTGCGTCGGCGTGGCGAAAGCGAAGCTGAATGCCGTCGCCCGTTAGCGTCCACACTTTAGCCGCGGCCGTCACTTTGTGAAACTCCACCCGCGTTTCGAGCAACACCGCCCTTCCACCAGCGTAGAACGTGTTCTCCACACTTTTGTTGTCCACGTCGTACGCGCCCTCCGAGAGGTGAAAGCCGTAGCCGGCAGGAGCGGTGGCGCTGGCCCAATGCCAGCGTGTTTCGCGGCGCAGCAGACCGCGTGTGTAGTCCATCGAGAGGTAGCCGTCGCCGCTCCACTCCGTTCCGCCCAGTCGCAGTTTGAGAGGGGACTGCAGCGGGGCAGCCGCCACTTTACTGACGAGTGCGGCACGCCGCGGACCGAGCGGGAAAACGACGCCAAGAAACTCCTCGGGAAGGGTCGCCACCGCATGCACTTCGTACCGCTGCGCCCCTGCACTCTTGCCGTTGGGCAGCTGCTGCGCGACGACGCCTGTGGCATCAACCTGCACGCTGCGGCCCGCAAAACAGAGGCGGGCGCGGTGGGTCGAAAGCGGGGCGGAAAACTCCACCCGATGCCCCGCACTGGTGGGGCCAAACTCGCCCTTTTCGTTGGGGACCCACTGGCCGCCCAGCCAGGGGCCCGGTAGCGGAACACGCGAGGTGGCCCTCCAACTCTCCTCTGACTCGACGTTGTAGAGGCTGACGGAGAAGGCGGCGAAGTAGTTGAACTGAAGCACGACGACACCCACGAACCACGGACCGGCGGTCAGCCCAACCCAGACGAACTCCTTCTTCTGCGTGTAGGTCTGAACCGTGTTCAGCGGATGCAGCTGCAGGGCGTAGGAGGGCCGCAACGTACGTCCCCAGACATACCCGTCCCTCTCCGCGTCGTATGACGACTTGGCGTGCTGCAGGGCGGAGGAGAAAAACGCGGCGCGAACGTCATCCGCCTCCGCAAAATTCGGGACTTCTGCGTCCACCTGTCGCCGCCGCACCGCCGCCCCCACACCCGAGCCGCCTTGGAGCGCGTCAAAGAGCCGCGAGAACATTTTTTTTTTTCAAGAATACGGCACGGCAAGGGTGTCTTCTCCTCTCGACTCCCGCCCCAAAGAGAAGAAAAAACAACACCCACACACACAAAAAGAAGAAGCAGAGGCGCACGCACCGGTTATGCAGGAGGAGCGAGGAATTGAACGTGACAAATGAGTCCCAAGCGCCGCGTTTGCCCTCACATCTTGTGCTGTCCCGCTCGTCACCCCGAACTCCTTTTCCTGCACGCCTTTTTTTTTTGATGTTTGCTTGCTCTTCTCCGTCTTCACTACGTGTGCCGTGCGGGCATCTTTGCCCTCCGCTAAAAAATTCCCAATTCCACCCTCTTCTCTTCACCAACTTGTTTTTGTTTTTGTTTTTTGCCTTGTCTTCGTGCACGTCACCGCTCACCCCCCCCCCCGCCGTTTAGTACCGCTTGTGTGCGTCGTGCTTCCTGAAGTAGCTCGTGTACTCCTGCTTTTTGATGATCTTGCGGAACTTCGCCTCCGTGCCGCTCCGCTCCTGCTCGGGGTTGTCGAGGTCGGGACCCCGCGCCACATCGACGCCCTTCCGAATAACGTGTTTGACGAAGAGGTGCTGAAGCATGCGGGAGAGGGCGTTCGCCAGCACGCACGCGTCCCGGCTGCCGCAGTTGGCCACGCCAAAGCAGCCCAAGTCGTGCTCGCAGTTGTACCGAAACGACGCCGCAGTCGGGGTGTAGTCGATCCCCACAACGCGCCTGGTCAGCTGCAGCCGCTGCCGCGGCTCCTGGTCGCCATTCAGCCACTCCACGCCAAAGTCAAAGTGAGCCCCCGCCTTGGGCGGGGGCCCCGCGCCCCCCAGCGCCGTCCGCGCGTGACGTACGGCGTCAAGCGAGAGCAACAACAGTTTGCCGTAGTCCTCCACGGGGGCGTAGAGGTTCAACGAGGCGTTCAACAGCGGTGGGCCGCAGTTCTCAAGGGCCCCCGTCGGGAGCGGATGGGAGAACCGCTGGTGCTGCCGTGCCAGGCCCCTCGGTTGGTAGAACATTTCATTCGGGTCACGCCACAGCTTTGGCGGGCCGTAGCCTGCACCGTGGCTCTGCGCGGGCTCAAACACAGTTTGCCGAATTGAGTCCTCAAAGCTAACACCGTGCAGCTGCCGCTCCACCGCCGCAATAAGCAGTGCAACGGAGAAGTGGGACACGCCGCGGCGGGAGATCCACCGCCGTGGACGCAAGCGCACTCTCACGCGCGGCGAGGCGCGCAAATACTGCACGTAGTTCTCCCGCTGCTGCTGCCCTGTCAGCGCCTTGGCAGATCCTCCCGCGAAGAAGTGAGTTATCGGTGCGTAAACACAGCGCTGGGTTGCGGCGCACACGTTCCACGCAAAGAGAGGACGAAACCGCCTCACCCCTGCATCCCTCATCACCTGATTGTCGTCGACCACGGTGTCGAAGGCGAGAATGCTGCGTGCCGTGACGCATGGGTCCAGCTTCTCCTCGAGCTCCGGCAGGTAGCGTGCCAGCGGGGCCTGCAGGTCAAACACGCCTTTGCCGTGCAGCTCACAGAGGTAGCCTGCCGTCACAGGTAGCGAGAGCACACCGTAGGTGAGCGGGTCCTTCAGCTTCATATGGTTCCCCTTGTCCTCCATATCACGCGGGCGTGTGCCGTCGCGGTAGCCGCTGGCGAAGCAAAACGGGCTCCCGCCGTAGAACAGGCCGCCTTGGTACCCGGGGGAGGCCCGCAGCTTCTGGCTGTGGCCGCTCATCATCAGGTGGGCAAGCTCCAACACACTCCGCACGACGGGAGGGATGTCGTCCTGCATGCCTTTGCGAATTTCCTCCTGCGTCACCGCCGCCCGCTGGGAGTTGAGGATTTCCTCGCGGCTCTTGACGGGAGGGAACTCAATCCCAATCTGCCGCCCCCCCTTTTCCCCGCCATCGCCGCCTTTTCGCTCCTGCGCCGGCCGCTGGTGCGACTCCGCCATTTCGATTGTGCTCTACACCCGCCCGTCTTTCCCGGCGCGCCACACCCATCCACCGCTGGCGAGGCAAAGAACGGCCAGCGCGGGGTGAAGAGGGCAAGAAAGGAAAAGAAAAAAAGGGAAGGAAAGAGACGCTCCGGCCCCTTCAGGAGGACAAGAACACGCCGTCGCCAGACAGTTAGCCGCGCGGCAGCGCGCAGGCAGATGGAGAAAGAGGAAAGGGTAGACAGATGTGCACACGACATCATCACCTTGATCTCTGTATTGGTTAACCGTGGATGCAGCGCAGCGAATAAAAGAAAACTGTAGAGGCACACACACACACACACAAAAGTCACTACGCTACACGCTGCTGTGACACAAGCAGCTCTAGCAGCTCATCCGCCGAGTCCTGCGCAACTCTGCCGCCACGCACCTCTGCTACAAACTCCGCCGTGCTCCTCCAGTGTTGCTTTAGTTTGAGCAGCGAGGTCATTGGCTCGCAGTTGGGCCGCGGAAGTTTTTGTTTCATAACAATTGCGAGCCGGCCCTGCTTGCGCCGCTGCGCAACCCACTTCTTTGCCGGAATGGAGGAATGAAACGCGACTGCCTCCGCGGCGTTGGCAGGCGCGTAGCCGAACTGCAGCCGGTCCGTCGGGCTGCCCTTGCCGTAGTCGTCCACCTCCGTCCCGGGGGCGAAGTGGGCGCCAGCGGGTGGTGCGGCGAGGGCCGCGGCCAGCGCCTTTTGCAGCGCCTCCCTTTTGCCGCCCTGCGGCTCCTGCCGCGCCGGTGACGACGGCGAGGGGTGCGGCCTCGCCCCGCTCGTCACCGCCTTCTGCGTCTTTTTCGCCTCCCGCCGGCGCCCCGCCGTGACTTTCGACGCGGCCGGTCTTGTCACCATCGCGTCCCCGCGAGTTGTTGTTGTTGTTTCCTTCGTTTGTTTATCCCGCGCGTGTGTGGGGCGGAGCAGGCAGCCGCAGAAAAGAAGAAAAAAACAAAAACAAAAACAAAAAACGGGTCTTCCTTTTTTTATTTTGTGCGTGCGTGGTCTTTCGCTCCCGCCCCGCCCCGCCCGGCGCGGCGCAGAAACAAACAGGCAAACAAAAAAGCAAAGCGGCGGCGGAAGAGAACGACGGTCGCACAGCTCCCCCGGAGGGCGACTTCCAGCAGTAAAAAGGCAGCGGCGGTGGAAGTTGCCGTCGTCTTCTCGTCGTGCGAAGCAGGCGCGTGCGTGGAGGGGCAAAAAGGGGCTCCGTGTGCAGGGAGGGACACCGAAACAAAAACAAAACCACACAAACAAACAAACAAACAAACAAACAAAAAAACACACACACGCACACGGGAAACGAGCGCATTTAGCCCTCTTTATTGGCTGAATTGCTGCGTGAGCGCTTGCTCCCGGCGAGGGCCTCGCGTGGATGCGGCCCACCGCCGCCGCTTCCCCCTTCACCCGCGCCCCCATCGGCAGCAGCAGCGGATGCACCGCCGCCGTCGTCGTCGTCGTCGTCGTCGTCGCCGCCGCCGCCGCCGTCGTCGTTGTCTTCGCTGCCATGTTCTTCGTCGGTGCCTTTGCGAGACTCGCGCCGGAGTGTCTTCATGGCCTTCTGCAGAAGCTTCATGATCTTCGCCGTCTTGTGCTCCACCACCTTCGGCTCCGTGTACGTCGGCAGCTGCCTCGCAAGCCAATCTTTGCCGTGCCCGAGAAACGCCACCCGCCGCTGCAACTTCGCCGAGAGGGGGAGCGGCATCGCGGCCAGCGCCGCCTCAAGCTCCGCAAAGCCACGCGTGAGCCGCTGCGTTGCGTCCATGATGGCCACCGCCGCCGCGTCCTTCACCGAGAGCGCCTGCGCCGCCTCGATCATCCGCTGCACCGCCGCCTCGCTGAGGCGCTCGCTGGCCGCGACCACGAGCGTCCTCTGCACCCGCGCAAGCTCCTCCGAGGCGGTGACAGTGAGAATGCCATCCGCGTCCACGCTGAAGGTCACCGTGATGGTGGGCTCGCCCTTCTTGGCGCGGGAAATGCCGTCCAGGACGAAGGCGCCGAGTTTGTGGTTGTGGCGCGTCAGCGGCCGCTCGCCCTCGAAGACCTGCACCTCCACCTCCTCCTGGTTGTCCTCCACGGTGCTGTACTCCTTCGTCGCGCGGTAGGGTATGGTGGTGTTGCGGCGAATGATGACGTCGAACCTGCCGTCGTCCACCTCGACGCCGATGGAGAGGGGCACAACGTCCATCAGCACGACATTGGCCGTCCGCGCCGACTGCTGCTCCGCCGCGGTGCCGATGATGCTCGCCTGCACGGCGGCGCCAATCGCCACCGCCTCGTCGGGGTGGACGGAGCCGCAGAGGCGCTTCCCTTTAAATGCCTCCTGCAGCCTCGTGCGCAGCGCCGGGATGCGGGAGGAGCCGCCGACAAGTACGACCTCCTCAATGTCTTCCGGCGACATCGCGGCATCCTTCATCGCCTTCTGTACGACGGCCATGCAGCGGGCGAAGACCCTGGCACACAGCTCCTCCAGCTTCGCCCGGGACAGGGCCAGGGTGTACTCCTCCCCGCCCCCCAGGACGCCGTCCACGACAATCTCCTCCGTCGTCGCGTGCGACAGGACGCGCTTCGCCTGCTCGCACCGCGCCAAGAGTTTCGCCAGCATCCGCGGCTGCGTGGCGGCATCCACGCCGTGGCGCTGCCGCAGGTCCTCCAGGAGGTGCCGCAGCAGCTCCGCGTCCACGTCCTGCCCGCCGAGGTGTGTGTCGCCCGCCGTGGCCCGCACCGCGAAGGAGCCGTCGTCGATGGTGATGATGGACACGTCGAAGGTGCCGCCGCCAAAGTCAAAGACGAGCACGTTCACCGCGCGATCCGTGCCCTGCGCCCCGGCGCCGGAGCCAAGTCCGAGGCCGTAGCACAGCGCCGCCGCCGTCGGCTCGTTGATGATCCGCAGCACCTCCAACTCCGCAATGCGTGCGGCGGCCTTCGTGCGCTCCCGCTGTGCGTCGTTGAAGTACGCCGGCACCGTGATGACGGCCTTCGTCACGCGCCTCCCCAGAAACTGCTCGGCGCACCTCTTGAGGTACGCGAGCACCCGCGCGGAGATCAACTCCGGCTCCAGGCGCAGCCTTTCGCCGTTGTGGTCGACGCAGATCAACACCCCGCCGTCCTCGCCCTCCTCGAGAGCAAACGGCCACCGCTTCACGTCGTCGCGGACGCTTTTCTCGCTGAACTTCCGCCCAATCATGCGCTTCGCGTCGAAGACAACGCCCGTGACCCCGCGGGAGGCCAACTGCTTCGCGCTGTCGCCCACCAGCACCTCCCCGTTGTGGAACGCCACGCATGACGGCGTCGTGCGGTTGCCCTGATCGTTCGGGACAACTTCGACCGCGTCGTTGCGGAAGACCGCGACGCACGAGTACGTCGTGCCGAGGTCGATGCCGATGGCGCCGTCAAACGCCTCCATTCACGCAATTGCGGGCACTTCTCTGCGGACCCGCACCACCCCGAGGCGGACCACGAAAAACAAAACGTGGAGAGGAGGAAAATGAAAGCAAAACCAACAGAAAAAAAAAAAAGAAAGAAAGAGAGCGCGAGAAATCAAAACACAAACATCTACAAAAAAAACAAAAAAAACTAGGGGTTTCCAGGCAGGCCGCCGCGGCCCTCCGCATATACATACGCAGATACATAACACTCAGTCGCCTGGGCAGAGGCAAACGTCACGGTGCGTCGCCTCAAGCTGCTCCACCCGCGCTCTGGCACACGTCTCCGCGGCCACCAACTCGTCGAGTTTTTGGCCGAGATGCCCTACGCGCCGAAAAAGCAGCTCCGTCAGCCGTCTGTCAAAGTAACGTGCCTCGCTTTCAAAGGCCAAACACCCGCGAAGAAACTGCCGGTAAAGAACCTGCTGGGCGTAAAGGCCACACTCATGGGCCAGCAGTACGCCGTAGTCCGTGTGCGCCGTCGCCTCCAAACTGCGCCGCGCCACCGCCTCCGCCTGCTCCAGCAGTCCGAGGGGGGCGTGGTCGCTCCAGCTCTTGTCGATGCGTTTGTACAGCGCCCACCGCTCTTGCTGCTCCTCCCGCAACGTGTTAATGCATAGGGTGGCGTGAAGCGAGAGCAAGGCATCCCCACGATCACGCCGCTCCTCCACAGCGAGTCGCATCCGGAGTACATCCTCGCGGCTCACAAGTCTCTCCAAGAGACTCATGCACGGCGGACGCAGCGGCGCCTTTTTATGTTTTCCCGTGGCTGCAGCGGTGGCGGTGCAGGTTGCCAAGGCGGCAAGAAATTCGGCTCGCCCATGCCAATGCGATCTCGCCTCCGCGGCGTCGCCTTCAAGGCGTTCACGCTGCGCCGCCTCGCGCCGCTCGAGCGCGTCGATTGCGATGGGGGCGAAGGCGCTGGTGTGGTGAAGCGCATTCCACGCCAGCGCCTCCTCCTCCTCAATCCGCTGGCGCCCGTTCCGCGTAACCGCGAACAAAGTTCGCATGCGCCCACATATCTCCCTGTTTGCCTGCAGGAACCGAGCAACGATCGCCTTGTACTGCGGCTCCATCGGCTCCTGGGCTCTTTCATCAAACCAGTCGCGGAACAAGTTCAGCGCCGTTTCAAAGTGAGACTCCACGCTGCTATCAGCGTCCCCGCTGGGGCACATTGCCGCGGCCCACCGCAATTCCTCCGTGTCCCCCTCGCGGTGCTGCACCTCCAGCATCTTCAGCATCGCGGCCGACGTCGTCTGGAGTTGTGTCTCCGCCTGCAGCCGCAGGGCTCGGCTCGCCTGCTCCTCCGCAAGCCGCTTGCGGGCGGCCACCATGCGGAGGAAGCGCTGAATGATGCGCGCTGTCGAGTCCAGCGAGTGATACTTCCGACCCACACCGGTGTTCTGCGCAATCCGCCACCGCAGCCTGCTTCCGCAGGCATCCCGCAGTTTTGTGCGCAGCCGCAGGAGATTACCCCACCGCCACTCGTCCTCCGTAAGGAAGAAAAAGGCGTCACTCTCCTCCGCGGCGAGGTCGCGCCGCAGTCTTGCCTCGTCATTCAGCAGCCGCCACCGGCCCTCCTCCGACGCAATGCAGTTCGACACGGACGCTTCCGCCTCCACTTCCAGGACGCCGCGAGAATTGTCCTCAAAGACGTGCAGGAGTCCACGGCACACCGTTTCCTCCTCCTCAATGCAGAGAATCGCGGTGTAGAGGGAACGCCAGGCCCAGGCTCCCTGCCGCAGCACGGCGTGGTACAGGTGCAGTGTGTGAAATTCCTCGCCCTTCTTTGCGCAGAGAAGCGCCCGCGCTTCTGCCTCGGACTTCTCAAGCAGCTGCACCTGCTGAATAAACGAGGTGGACCCTTCCACCCACCGCAGCGCTCGCCAGTGGGGATACGGCTGCAATGTTTGTTGTCGCACGTACAGACGATATGGCACACGGATAAGCCTTGAGACAGGCGGGACGATCGTCGTGCCATCGTCCTCCATCAGTGGGTAATCGCGGAGGTCATGTTTCTCCGTCTGGTGCAAGTTTTCTGCACGATTCATCAAGGTGTAAATAAAATAATCAAATGTGTTTTGATACGCCCTCTCGGCCGCCTGTTCAATGGTCGCCACGGCTTTGTGTAGCTCCTCCTCCGACATGGGGGCGGCGGCCGCTGCCTGTCGCCTCATCCGGCCAAGCAGAGCCAGATAGTCACGCGATGTCATTCGGTCCCGTTTTTTTGCCACACACTTTTTAAGTTGCCGCCGCTTCCGCTCGCTCCACGCGGTCACACGGAGCATGCGCCACCACCGCTGAATCCGCAGTAGCGCACTCAGACGAGCCTGGCAGCAGCCGTAGCGGCAGACCGCCTCGATTGCCGCCCTCGCCTGCGCCTCCTCGACAAACTGCAGAAGTGCCGCACCGTGCTGCCACTCCAGCGGCTGGCGGAGCACGCGCTCCTCCGACGCGAGCTCCCGTCGCGCCCTCCGTTCCTCCGCACAGACGGTGTAGTCCAGGAGGAGGTCTGCTCTTCCACGGTAGCCGCCGGTGCCAACGTTGCGCGGGGAACGGAGCTGCGTCGTGGGCTCAAATGTCTTGGCGGGGCGAAACGACATCGCGGCAATGCGGGACTCCCAGTCACGTATTGCCTTGAAGTCTTCTGCGAGGCATGCCGCCGTGTCCAACTCCAGCTCCGCCTGACGGCGGCGATGCTCGAGCAGTGCGAGCTTCAGCAGCGACGCCACGTGATGCCGCGAATCCGTCTCCGCAACCACCAACTGCGCCCGCGTGGCCGCCTCGAGGTGCTGCAGCTGCCCCCGCTCCTCGTACCAGCGGACGCCCCGCATGTACAGAGACCGCTGCAACGCCAGCGCCTTCGCCTCCGTCGCCGCGGTCCGCCGCTCCACCTTTGCCTTCGCCTCCTGGTAGTGCCAGAGGAGGTGGTAGCGCCGCTCGTGCTCCCGCCCGCAGATGACGCCGCGCACCCTACACTCCAGTCGCTCGAGCCGCTCCACCCGCTGCCTCGCCACCGCCGCCTCCAGCGCCGCCGTCTTCGCCTCCATGCGCCGCAGCTCCTGCAGCCGCCGCCCCCTGTCAATGGCGGGAAATAAACGGCTCGAGGGCGCCGCTACGAGGTCGGCTGGCGGCGGCGGCGGCGGCAACGGCACCTGCGAGCCCTCCACGGCCCCCTTTGCAGCCGGCTGCAGCGAAGGGAGGACAAACGACTTCATTCTCCTCCGCTTCCTTCTCTCACACGCACGCTCCTCGCACGTCCTCTGAGAATGTGCCTCCCTGCTTGGGCCGTTCAAACAAAGAGAGTAAAGAACGAGAGAGGGCGCAAAAAAAAGAAAGTTGTCATCAACCCCCCAACTCCTCACAGCAAGGGGAAAGAAAAACTATTTATTTATATATACACAAATATATAAATATATATATTAACAAAAATAAATGGGGTGAATCCATACGTATGCGTGGAACGGTGCCTCTAGCTGCGTGAGTCAAAGCAATAGAGGCAGAAGTGAAGAGGCACGTCAAAGCCGCTACGGTGGAAGTCAAACACCTCGGTGAGAAAGCACGCCAAATGATGTTTCTTCTCGCTTCTGCACCACGGCTGCCCACGCCCTTCACAAGAGACCTTCCAGCGACGGCTGCCACAGCCGATCCTCGCGCCTTGGGAGAAGACGTGCGGCGTTCGGCACGCGAATCCCGGACTGCTGGAGCGGTGCCGCCCGCGGCATGGGACTGTAGCACATCATAGCATCGTCGCCGCCGTCATCGCCGCCAACATCCGCTACGAATACGCCGTCATTTCCACTGCCGCGGTTGCTCTCGCCGCGACTGCGCCCGTCCATACTCACCTCGGTGCCGGTAGGTGTTCGCCAAGCGTGGGAGGAGGCATCGGCCGCGGTTGGGCTGCCGCTGCTCCCACTACTCGCGAAGTGCGGGGCCGTATGGTCAACGTACACGACATCGTCGTCGCCGCCGTCCTCCGCCCCCTCCTCAGCGGCATCAACGCCGCCGTCGAGGTTGGCCTTGACAAACCCGCGCTCCTCCGCCGCCTCGCGCTGCTGCCGCGGTTGGTTTTGCTCCTCCCCATCGCAGATGCCGCTTCCGGAGGAGACACTCATCGCCCGCGTCTTGGCGGCGGACTCCTCTTCCTCCACATCAACCACAGGCGGCACACGCGGGCGCCGGCCGCGGCCCACAGAATGCCCGGGCGACTCGTTGCCGCTCGACGACGTCTCCTCCTTCCTCCGGTGGGTGTGCCGCGCACTCTCCCCCAGCGCCTTCATCGCCTGAAACCGCGCGTGGAAATGGCTCAATTTCCTCCGCTTTTTCTCCGCCAGCCGTCGCTGCTCGCCAACGTCGTGCTCTAGCTCCTCAAGCGTCGCTGAGGAATGCAGGATGTACATCTCCAGCTCCGTGGCGGTCATGCCCTCCACGCACAAATTTTCCCCCGCCAGCTGCGGCACGTGTGCGGCGGGCGCCACGCTTGGGAGGACCCTTGACAACCGGTCCACCTCCGCCTGCGCCTCCGAGAGGCGCTCGTGCATGAGGGCGCACGTGCGTGTCAGCTGCGTCACCCGCTCCCGCTGCTCGTAGAGCGCGCGGAGCTGGGCAATGTGGCTCTTCTGCGCCTTGTGCGTGGTAGTGAAGTGCGATTCGGCCTCACCGCCACCACCGACCCTCGCCGCAGCCCGCGCATCCCCACCGCTGGGAAACAGCGGAATGAGACGCCGAATGGGCACCATGCACGCCGGGCACGCAACAAGACGGCTGCCACCGCCATCCACGTTGCTGCCGCTGCCGCTGCCGCTGCTGCCGCTGCTCTTGGTGTCAATTTTCCCCCCAGCTAACTTGAGGTGCGCGGGCTGCGCCGCGCCCATCCCGCCCCGATCGCCCCGAACGATCAGCTGTTCCAGCTTCCTTCGCTTGCGAATGTAATCCACACAGCCTGCGTGGAGGAGGTGCTGGCACGGCAGGATGAGCACCGCCCGCAGCGCCCCCTCGTCGCCGACGGGGGCAGCACACTCGCAGCACTCCACCGGCCCCTCAAACATCGCTGGCACGATGCGCAATGTAACGCGGGCGCAACACGCCGGTAAAGCTAACGGACCCCGCCACCGTGAACGCAGAAGCAAAATACACGCAAGACAAGAGGAAAAAAAAAAAAAAGGAAGAGCTTTTCAGTTGAAGCGACCATGTCAAAGCGGGGAAGTCCCAAGCACCAGGAGCAGGACGTGCGTCTTCATGGTGCATCGCCCGCCCCCGCCGCGTTCCCATTCATCTCCTCCCACTCCTCCTCCCCCCGCCTCGCTGTGCTCTGATTTCATTTTCCCCTCGAAATGTCTTCAAACACGGGTCGAGAGTAGAAAAACAAAAAAAACAAAAAAAACGAACAAACAAAAGAGCCCGAGAACTGCAGGACTACGTTGCACGCATGCAGACGCACACGCGCTGGCTCCTACTATACATTGTAGTTTGCCTTCCCTTTCCCCCAGCCTCCGCACGAGGCGAAGAACTACGCCCGCCGCCGCAGCTTTGACGGGGGCGGCGGCGGCGGCACTCTCGCGGTGTTCACCACCGTAAAGTACTTGAGACGCGGTGCGCGAGAAAAAAAACGCTCCATGAGCTCCGCCGGCAGCGTCGGACACTGCTCCACGTTCACGAGGGTCAACGACTGCAAGGAGACAAACATTGTCCGCGCGTCTGCCTCATCCGATGCGTGCGCCATGACGCCCTTCATGCTTCTGCGTGACTTGCCCTCCCGCGGCGACCGCACCGCGGCCCGCTTAAGCTCCTCGAGGATGTCGGTGTTGGAGAGGTTCACCGTCAGCTCCTGCAGCTCGGGGAACGCCTGCGTGGGAAGAAGCAGCCTGGGAAGCATGCTCCGCTCCAGCGGACACCACAGCTTCACCCGCCACGGTCGGCGTGGGGCACGCAGCATGTCGAAGAACTCGTCGTGCAGCACTAGTGGAGGCAGCTGCGCGCCGCCGGGAACCACCGCCTGGTCGCGCCGGGAGCCCACCACGATTCTCTCCAACGCCGTGAGGCGCTGCCACCACCCGGGGGACCACTGCGAGAAAAGGTCCACACCAACTTTAAGCGCCCGCAGCTTCGGTGCGACAAGATGCAGGTCACTGAAGAAGTACTGCGGCAGGTGCGGGTGGGCGTGACAATCCCACACGACGCCGCGAAGATCCAGAGACGTCAGTGACGGCAGTGACTTCACCAGCGCGGGATACACATGGTGGGAGCACAGCGGCAGTGCCGTACTAACAGGCAGCGTGGCGGCGTACTTTGTGTCCACAAGCCGCAACTCCTGCACGAACTGTCCCCGCTTGTGCGGAGCAAAGAAGGCGCACAGCGAGTCAACAACGGTGTGGCTCGAAAGACAACCTAACGGAATCATAAAAGGCACTAAAGTGGCATTCGACGGGGTCGATGCAATGACAAGATTGCGCAGCCGCCGACACACAGAGGCCATGTGCAACAACTCCCTCGATCGTTCCCCAAGAAATGCAAAGACGCGGCGCAGAGTTGCGTCATCCATGTGACAAAATTCATCACGAAGCACAGGCACCGTCTGAAGCGCAAACAACTTCTCACGTGCCGCACGGTGTGGATCAGGCTTTAAGTGCTCCACTACTAATGAACAAAAATCCGCATGACGTACCACTGGCGCAGCACAACACGAAGGCAAGCAACGTTTAGCCAAACCGCGTGTAATCAACGCCGAATCGAAAAGAGGTGCATCAATCGCCGTCACAGAGGCAACTGCGCGATTCCGAGATCGTCGCACCATAACACCCTCTTCAGACGCCATCATACACAGCTTCACGTGAAGAAGCCGGAAACACAGAAAACAACACCGTTCCTTTGCTCTCTCCCTATAAACGTCTAACTCCGCTCTCTGCTTGAGTGCAGGCGGCAGAGCAGACACGAACACACCGGCAAAGAAAACCTCCATGAAAAGAAAAACAAAAAAAATCACAACGGCATCCGCATGAGGAGAGGCGGGGACGGCCCAAAACCGCCACGCGCAAGAACAACAGCCGCCACTTCTCCGCCTCCCTCGGGAAAGACGCAAAAGGAGGTGGAAGGGAGACCCGCTGCCTCAATGGGAACCAGTTGTTTATGCAGTTAACGTCGCCCACGTGCGTGCAAGTACACATGCTGTGGGCACAGTAACGAGGGCCCACAGAAGAGCAGAATACTCTACGCCTTACATTTCCAATGAAACAATGAAAACAATAGTAAAAAACCACTTACTTTATTCCGACCTGCCGGCA